CATCCTTCGTCCTTCGCGACCGATCGTTGATCGGTCGTGCACTCAGTCTCTACGTTTTCTCGTTTTCAATCTCAGTCTCTCGATTCGGTCAAACATTCGCAAACGCGTATCGACGAAAGATTCAAACGAAACTTGTCACTTGTCACGTCGATTCCGGCACGCGATGGTCGCGCGTTAGTCGATCGTCGGGTCACCTGTTCGAGGGATCTCTTGCTAGCTCAGTTGCTCAGTGACAGAGTTGCCAAAGCTCAACTGACAGTTGACAGTCGACGGAGGAACTGTCAGGGAAACTGTCAAGGCGAGAGTGAGGAGCGTGCGGTAGCAGGCAGCCACGCGACGAACCGGGACACCAGAAAGCAACCGGCCAGCACACCGAGCACACGCGTGTCGCGAACTCCTGTTCGGCAATGTTCGCGTTCGAGTTCCCTCCACCTGGAGAAGGTCGATCGTGTCCCAAGGTGGTACCATCTGGTAGAGGGGAACGTTGAACACCGAGACCGCCCTCCTCGAACAAAATGGAGTTTTCTCGAGCTTTCAACTCCGCCTATCGTGATCCACCTACGTCGTTTCACGTCGGTTTACCACCTGGAACAACCTACAAATCGCACCAGCTCGTCTCTCTCTCCTCTCTTGGAATCGCTCGAATTCCTCTTGGAGCATTAGCGCTTGGGTCGTTAGGACGAACGGAGATCGAAGATGTTAAAAGGAGCCAAGTTTCATTCGCTCACTGATTGTGAGTGAGTCTCTTCGTCGTAAGCAGAAGGATCGGAATTTTCCTTCTTTTTTTTTTTTATATGTCTTTGAAAGATACCCCGCTGTTCTCTGAATAAAACCTTCTAGGCGAAGCGGCGAGGTAAGATTTTTTACTCAGTGCAACATTTTTATGAGGGAGTCGCCTGAAGTCGTCTGAGCCAAGGACCCGCACGAAATCTTTGAGTAGTAAATCGACCTCTCTTTTTTAGCTTCTATTTTTTAAGAAAGCTACACAAACTGACTAGGGATAGGAGGTCCCCTATTAGGGTCATTAGAGACTGTAGCATTAGATCTGCTCTGCATGAAACTATTTGTAAATTTATCTGTAAATAGAAAAACAGCGTTGAACCCTACGCTGAGATTCGTGAGTAGACAATTAGCAGATTGCAGGCAATTACAGGCCGACAGACCCCTCGATGTAAATCGACTGAAAGCGATTTACATTGCCAGCGAACGCGGCTCGTAAATCAACGTAAGAAAATACAGGCCAGGAGAGAAGGAACGACCACGGTTGCATATATATACGTAGACTTTCGTCGATTTATTTTTTTTATACACTGTATCCGTTAATCTTTAAATATATTACGTGCGGTGTGTTTAGGTATGAGTCTGCTAGCGAGCGTTTGGTACGAATCGACCGACTTGGTGAGAATCACAACTGCAGAGGGAAGGGGGGAGGGGGGAGATTTTCGTAAAACACATTTGAAGACGTATGCGCCTTGACTCGGTGGGATGATCGAGGTAATACTGTTGACAACGGTGGCCGATTGATCGAGACGTACCAAGCGATGATCCAGTCCACTTCAGCAGCGCTGAATTCGTTTTCGAAGAAACCGTTTGAGCGAACGATACAATTCCGCAGCGAGACACTCGTCGCTCGACGAATTCGCGTATACCTACAAACGGGAGAAGTGCTGTGGTCGAACGAATAAAATGAAAAGGGGTGAAATCAGGCTGTGAGAGAAAGATGGTGAATCGAGAAGAGATTCGGTGGAAAGTTGGGTACGGTGTTGAACGCAGTTGTGGTCGAACGTACGAACTTTCGTAAGATGAGAACTCCTCTAAAGATTTCCATTTGGAAATCCGTAATTTTTTACGGACGTTCGTCCGAGACGTAGCGTGCGTCGCGTCATCTCAGCCATGTCCGTTCGAATATTTCACACGCGTTACCCCTTCGAATCTTCACTTCAAAAACCTGCTTACCTGCAAAGACGCGCCTCCGACGAGGGATAGAGAGAAAAATTAATATAAAGTATATATCTTTGGCACAATAAATACGAATACACGGTACATTCTTTCACGAGACTAGATGTCTCGCCGACACGAGTCCATGTTCGTTGACGCGCATTGAAACTCGTCGACGAGACACCGAGACGTAATTGCTTCACTCCTCGCCATCACGACGCATGAGATCCTTCGTACTCCTCTTACGCGATCATTTCTGAATCAGACGAAATTAAAAAGGAAGAAAGAAAAAAAAAATAGTAGGGGAATTCTAAAAGAACCTTGCGACGATATAGGAAATTACAGCTAACGATATTATAACGCCTAGCACCTAACGGGGTTTCATCGCTTCGGGAATTATTACCAAATCGTGGCAGTACTCGGAATCGTTACTTCGACGATAAAGACAGCTCGATATCAAATACGCGTCGACGCTGTATATGAAAAAAAAAAAAAAAAAAAAGGAGAAAGAAGTAGTCGTAGACGAAAGAAAATTGCAACGTTTACGCGTTACACGTCGCAGTGAACACCTAGGCCTTAATTTTATATAAACGTACGAATATTTGATATATCAACGACCTGTTTGAACGATCGATCGATCGTTATCGATCGTCGATGGCATTGGAAACTTCCTAGCTAACTTACCACTCCTGCAGAAATCTACTTGATCCGCAGCAGATCGCTTACGTATCGTTTCGAGACTAAACGGTGACGAAAAATCCAGCTTTTTTGTATCTTATTTGAAATGACGAACGAAATCGTTAAAGTATCGCGGAACAAATGAACCGAATATTGCTCGACGAATAAGAACTGAATGAACCCCTTGGATCAAGCTGAACCGCGCGAAGAATGACCGAAAAACGAGGCCTGTTTTTTAATCTTTCGATTTTGGAAATTGAAACTCATAGCTTTCTCACGAGAACGTTCTCCTTCTTTTCTATAACCTGCCCTTTATGATGTTTCAGGATTTCAAGGTAAGTCTCGTTACCTGACGTCTACAATTTGAATGTCTTAGATGATTGGTGATCCTGTGACGAATTTGTTTAAATGTTGCTTCAATGAAAAATAACAGATTTCTAGGAATTCGTCGATTCCATTAGCTGGAACCGTTCTGATAAGAAATTCGCAGTCCTAATAATGGTACTATTGAACAGACAATCACGTTTTTGAAAAAAGCAAATAAACTATAAAAGTTAAATAAGCCTGGATCTTCAAAAAAAAAAAATTAATGCTCATTCACACAGGGAAAGTCACTTAAACTTCTTTGACCCCTTGTAATAAAAAAACTTATTGTTGGATCAACTTGAAAGTTATGACTGACTTATTATAAGCTATCGAGAGTTTCAAACTCGAGAGAGTATCAATTATTCTTCCTTTTACAGCATTCTAAGCTGCTCACTATCGCACGATGTACACTCGATTCACGAGATACCTATTCCTGAATTAATCGCAAAATTTCGATGGGTTCGATTTTGATCTCCACTCGTTTTTAATGTATTTTGATCCGATCGATCATTGTTCCACGACATCGAAATGCTCTGGAGATAAACACGCTATTTAGAAAGCACGGATATACAAGCTCCGTTAATAGATATAGGAGACATTTTATTGGGATTGAACCTGAACGGTGCAACAACGAAAAAAGTTCGTAGGGCAACGACTTTTTTCCGATACGATCGTTGAGAACGATCGTCTCGATCGAGATAATATTTCACGTGCGATATAACTATCAAGTACAAAGCGCATGGTAGTCGCACGCGTGTAGGAACTTTTTTCATCGCAAAATCGAGCCCGAAGAAAGTGTCTCCGATATATACTAACTCTATGTAACGACTGTTGCGTTCGCGCGTCGATTTTTCTCTTGCAAAACTCGGCTACGCTCTAGTTTTTCCGCTACGTTTCTTCTTCTGCCTCTCGTACAAAGTTACGTTCTTTTCGATATAAAAGTTTCGTACAACTATAGTCGAGTGTCATGATTTCTTTCTTTCGTTTTTTTTTTTTTTTTTTTTTTTTTTTTTTTTTCTTTTTTTTTTTTTTTGTTTTGTTTCTCTTCTTTTCTTTTGATTTTGGAGAAGACCGCCGGAGAGCGATCAGACACGAGCGATTACCTGACGCGTACAATAATATGAGTATAAAAGTCTGGAGATCCCTATAATCGATCCCCTATGGCATTATTGTTCCATCGATAAACTGGACCAGGAAGCATGGTGTTTTGTCGGTTTTGGATTCGCGTGTCGTGAGTATAAAAACGCGGCAACACGCCTGCTACTTGGTCCATCCTTCCTCAGTGTTCGAGTACGTGGGAAAACTTGGCCGCGAGAGTCCGTTTCCACCGTGATCGACGATCTGTTTTTCCGTTTTGTTTCTTTCAACGCGGGCTTTATATGGTCTGGCGCTAAGCAGACACGTGATTCGGCACGTTCGACGACGACGTGGTCTGCAACGGGGATCGTGACTGATGGAACCTGAGCAATTCCGAGACCGTGACAGCCACGCGCACCACTCCTCGACCTCCTTCCAGCACGTCGCTAGCGCAGCACACGAGGTTCTGAAAAATGACAAAGCACACGCGTACGTTCTTCATTAATGTAGGTCTGTCGAGCTTCGGGGTAAGACAAGTCCAAATTTCGTCCCTTAATGTTTGTCCAGAATGAAATGAATCTCTCGGTCTAAAAAAATTAGTAGAACTTTGCAAGCAACGTTTTTATAGAAATTCGTACAAACGAATTTGTTGGATTCGTTTCACAATTGTTCCCAATTTCATTGGAGAAATATTAAACGTATCATTGAATTCCTTTCTAACGTTAAAAAACGTAGAGTTAAAAATTACAAATGAAATGTATTAATATCAATCTTTAGTGAATTAGGCAGTAATATTTAGCGCACCGCTAGACGTGATTTTAGCTGCAGAATTTAGCGACCTGCATATTTTAGAGAGGCGACGAAATTTGGGCCCCTCGCTGTAAAAACTCTGGGAATAATTTTAGTAGAGGTGACGATCGTTCGTCGTCGTGCTCAAGCGATTATACGAAAAAGAATATTTTATTATCAGTGGAAATAGTATTACAATCGTTATTGGTAGTCGTACAATCGATGTTACAGAGTACGTCTCTCGAAAGTGAAACCGAATATTAGTTTGAAGCATTGTCGTTTGAATAGCAAAAGAGTTTCTCAACGATTGTTCTTCTTCGGGGGACGTGAACCACGGAACACTGAACGCGCAAAAAGACGCCGCGACTCGTGGCCATCCAACGAATCGGATTCGCACGAGTGCGCCCGTTTCACTTGACTTTCCCGCGCCATGGAAGTTAATCGAATCGGGGACTCCCGATTGGAATCGAAATTTGAAAATTTGAACCGACGATGACACGTAAGTATACATTCGGCAGTGTATAACAGCGTTTGTTCTTTTATTGTGCGTGTAGCATAGAGATGAAGCGCGAGGCACGCCGTCCACGTTCAACGTTCACGCGGCGAGGATTGATCGCCGTTATCACTGCACTATATTCCCATTTATATGAACAAAATTGGAGATGTGGAAAAAAATACGACCAGTTTCGACGACTGTCCCTGCGTCGCGATCGTGAAATCGTTGGACGAACATGCTGGCAAATTTAATTTAGACTCGATAGTACAAAAGTGAAAAAGTAGAGAGAGAGAGAGAGAGAGAGAGAGAGAGAGAGAGAGAAAGATAAAGATAAAGAAAACGATCGTGTCACATCTATCGAGTAATATAATAAATCGACGAAGGAGCACAGTGAAATTGCTCAACTCGACGGATGGACGCGATCGTTGGAAGGTGGGACACGAATTAAACGATAAAGAGAGACCTTCTTCCTACAAAATCGTACAGAAAAGCTTAAGCTTAAAAAACAACAAGATAAAAAACGAAGCACCGAGTTTCGAAGAGCGAGAACGAGAGTTTAAGCTCGTTATGTCAGCAACGCTAATTAGCCTACGAAGTATAATCTGAGAAAATAAAGAAAAGAAAAAATAAAAAAAGAAAACGCTCAAAGAGAAAAGTAGTATCAACGTACCATATATCTATGTTTTTCGTACAATATAATATAATACAATATAATAATATATATATATATATATATATATTTGTATAATATAATCTATCTCTATATGTATATATATGCTCTCTTTTTCTTCCTCTCTGTTCTTTACAAAAATTATACAATTATACAAGCTAATGCAACGGAATGATCTCGTGTGTTAGGTCTCCTATATCGCTCGTCTTTTCTAGTTCGGGTCCTCACGCGGGTAAAACGAAGGACGCGCCAGCCTCTTGTGGAAGCGACAACTAATAATGAAAAACTGCTGCGACAGAGAAGAGATAGTAATCTACGAAATACGCGATAAAAACTAAAGTAACCAGTCTTACGGTTGCGATTAATTCGATGCAATTACGTCTCGTCCGATCGTTACGAAGAGATGCAGTAATACTGATGAGGTCGTCGCCGTTGAACGCGACGTCGTTTCGCTGAGCTAACCTCGTCGAAACGATGCCTACTTCCCAGCAATCAGAGACCTTCGAATCAATTTCGAATATTTCTTGACAAACGAACTTTTGCAATCCGACAGTTAACGCCTGAACAGCGTACGAACGACGACGAAATTGACCGGAAGAGAGGAGTGGAAGAGACAGAAGGAACAAACGAAATTAAGTAACGAATTAAGCGTTAAGTTACCAAGCGAGTACGAAACATTGTTAGTACGTAACTTAGATGAAAACGAAGATTAAAGGAAAGAGAAAAAAAAAAAAAGAACAAGTCGAACTGACTAGAACCGAGGATAAACTTAACCAACGATTAGAAGTACATTATACTAAGGACTAGAAATTCGCAAACGCAAGCTGCGCGAATGCGAAAACGACCAAAGTAACGCGGGGTATTCCGAAAGACGTAGCTCGCTTTTAATTCCTGATTCGATGATTAATACACGTCGACATAGTTGCACGCTCGTCGTAGAAACACGCGCGTCTACGATCAGCTCGAAGTACAGAGAATTTCCAATGAGAGAATATACAATGAAAGAACTCAATTTGACACCAAAAAGAAAAAAAGAAGAAAAAAGAAAGTTTCCACGTGTTTTCTTGCAAATAGACCGTTGTATTAGACCGTTGTGTCAATAGAAGCGATTAGAAGGTTCCTCGTAAAAATTCCTTTGTGCGTTCGCGATACGTTTGAGAGCACGTGTTTACTCGTGTCGTGTTCAGTCAATGAACATACTAGCAGCGATATGAGAAGCATCACGGAGAAACAGAGTCGCGCGCGACGCGTGTCTGACGCGTTTGGCACTGATCTACTGCGAAAAAAAGAAAGAACACGTTCGATACGACCAATAGATACGGGCCCGGTCCAATGGAGCGAACAAACCAAGAGGTGCAAAAGATCCGCCACGATCCGAAACGTTCGATCTCGGCGACTCGTTCCTCCTCAAATTCCTTAATGTACGCAATATAATATAATCCTTATCGTACGAATACATGTAGAATAAGTTAGACGCTTGTACACTCTAAACGATATATGTACGTGTTGTACGTCCGCTACGATACGATTCTTATATTTCTTCTTGTTTAGACGTTAAACGCGTTTATATGAAAATATGGAGATTATATCTTAGGCTCACGACCGAATTGCTTGGTCGGTGAAGTGTTAAGTACTCTCGTCTGAGACGTGTCCCTCGCCCAACGAAAAGAAGAAGCCCCGTATTTATTCGCTTCTCGCCTCGGTGAAGAGAAATGACAGGGAAAGATAGAGTTCGTCGTTTCGCCGTGATTTCGTTTTGGGGGGGCACGCAATACTGCTTGTGAGATTCGATAAAAAACGACAGAAAACAACGATCGAATGAGAAATTCCTTTCGAGTTCGAATGTGCGAGTTATAAACCTACGTACCAAAATAGGAAATCTTTGAACGTAAAGAGATTTCTAGCACCTTGTTGCGAATCCTGTAGTACTCGAAGGCTACCTATCACAGACCCATCAATCCTGAAAGAGCCGTAGGCGATTCACATTGGTCGAACGTTAAAAAAATACTACCATTCGAGGTATGACACCGAAGGGTTCTTCCCTATTTTCTTCTCTCTTTGAACTTCGCCATCATTGGCATGATCCTAGTCACGTCACCGGTGCCGGATGATGCCGCAATACCAGCCACGAATACCATTCGCTTTGTTTTCCAATTTTCTTTGATCCCGCCGTCATTACAAAACATTATCTCGAACTTGGAGCAATCAAGAACGTGTATTGAACACCAACCCACCGCTTCGCGTAGCAAAATACTATTTTCTCGACAGATGCTGTGCTCAACGATAAATCTCATCGGTCGTCACGATCCAGCGATCTAAACGTACAAGGTACATACATACACAGGCGATTCTATTTGATATGCGAGCGTCCATCAGCTTTGATTACGCTCTTTGATTTGTTTTTTCTTTTTTTTTTTTTTTTTCACGTTCCCTTCCGTCGTAAGATATTTTCGCGTTCAATAATCAGAACTCGAGCTCGAGTCCTCGTCGTAGGTCTTATTACCAAAAAAACAGAAACGCTCAGCTAACCTACGCGCTACGTGGCCGTTTCTACAACTAGGCGGACTAAATGTACTTACGAAGCTGCCGTTCGATACTTGAATCGACTACCGAATACTAGCTCGCCGAAGGAAGTTTCAAGCGTCTCTCGCGAGCCACAACGACGGAGGCAAACAAACGAACAATCCTGTTCAAACTACAGCCGAGCGACCAGCGGCTGGGACCTGCCACATTTCTCGAATCGTTTTCGAACTTGTACCGTACATTTGACGAATTCGAAGCTTCAAACTCCTGAAAGTCTTAATGGATCTTAATAAATCTTTGATCGTCTTGGATGTAGTCAAAGTTCCGAGAGTTCGATAGCGTGACGAATATTCAACGTTGAGCTGATACAAAATTATGCAATACAAATACTGAAGAAAATGTGAAAAGTTGTTTGATAATTAGTCACGCTTGAAACTTTGAAAGAGTTTAAGCTTTGAACCGATATCCGAGGAGATTCGAAGTGTCGCAGATCCCATTGCTGCCTGTGTCGTATTCGAATGTAAATTCAGTCGAACGTACAAGCTAAAGCTTAGCTTAGCTGTTTCTCAGTCAGATCAGCGTATCGATCAAACGTTTTTACAACGGACGAAAGCCATCGAGCGTCTCTCGGTTCGACAGCGATTCCTTTGAACGGAAGAATGAGAGGGGAAAAATCAGAACTGTCGACTAACGTCGAACTAGGGATAACGAGATACTCCGGACGGTCGATGAATAGCTTTCGATTACGGTTTTATCCTTCCGGGTATCGTTTGTATCGTGCTTAAAATAAACTAGCAATTAGCATCTGACAGAGGGTGGCTCTGCGCGACACTCGACCGCGTTCTTCGCCCGTCGAAGCAAACCAGATGTAAAGGAAATAAAATTAGAAAAATATCATGCCGCTCTAAGTGTACTAATCGGGCTGGAAGAAGTGGACAGAGGAGTGTCGTGCAGCGATTCAATCTCGCGCGACTCGACGGGGGGCTCGGCGAACGAATCGAGAAATTGAAAGGTAGAAAACCAGAAAAATTGTAACAAAATCGTATTCTCCCCCCGAGTTCGTTGCGAACCGAACCGTGCCGTGTCGCGTGTCGATATATATCGTTTGTCGTAATCCCAGCGTAATCTTCGATTGTGCTTTTGTCTTGCAAGCGTCGTTCGTCCCATCATTTTGCACTCTGGCGTTCTCGTCTTACTCGCTCTTTTTCTTTCTGTTTGTTTGGCTTTTAATCAGGAATGGGGAAGAGGTAGAGCAGAACGAGGCTGGAAAGGAATGTGGCAAAAAGCATCGCGGATAGAACGCGATCCTGAATCGTATGGGATGAACCTGCGGCCGATTCTTCGGTATCTTTCTTTCCTTCGTCGCGGAGAAGGAGAAGAGCGGAGACGAGACGCGCCAGAGCCTCCAGCCCGTACGCGTCCATGTAACCCACGTCCATGATTGCGTCCGCGTCCAATAACACCTCCTGCAACACCAACAACGATACTACTCAGTCCCAGTCACTACTATGTCGCTGGTCGTTCTGAACATTTTACTTTTCTTTTTTTTTTTTCTTTTTTTTTTTTTTTTTTCTTCTTTAATTTAATTTCTCAGCGAGATCGAAGGAGATGAGAGAACAATCAACAATCAAAGATGTTTACTTCGAATCAATATACTAGTAATTAAGTGAAAAATTAATTGTCGCAGAAGCGTAGACAACGAAAAGGGTGTATAGAGCCAATAAAAGATAAAAAGATAAAAAAAAAAAAGAAGAAAAACGTTACGTCGTAAAGGTAGTGTCGATGAAATGCTACGAGCAACAGCTTGCGCAATTGTAACGATCGCGAGGATCGAGCAAGTTATCCCGAGCCTCGCTCGAGGTTTTCATCGATAGAGAAAGAATTTATCCACTTCTCAGTGTGCTTTTGGAATTTATGACAGTTGTTATAGACGATTAAAATACGTGTAACTATTAATAATTAGACAACTGAGATTCGAGTACACCTGATTAGTATCTCTTCTAATGAATGAATGAAAATGGTGACCTGATAGGTAGTTTCGTACAGACAACAAAGGTCAATTTTACTCTTACTTTCACCGGTTTTAGATACCGATAATTAAACAACCATGCGTATTCGACGATTCGCACGCGATATTAATCATGTTATGTAGTTTTAAGAGAGAACGGGAAGGGAAAAAATGAAAAAGAAAAGAAAAAAAAAAAAAGAAGAAAAACATTCGAATATCTAAATACAACTTGTTGTATGTTTGTATGTTTAGAGTGAATATATTATATATTGCATTATATTATATTATATTATATTACATTATATTATATTATATTATATAGTATATATGAAAACGAGAATATACAAGGAGATAACGAATAACAAATTAACGAGTGGACTAGCGAGCTATTATAAGGTTTCTCATTTTTCAAATACGATTTTATATTCTGGTGCCAACCCGTCGGGAATAAATGTAACCTTGCATTATACATTTGTAAAGTAAAAAAAGAAAAAAAAAAAAAGAAAAACAAGAACCTCGGAACTTCATGGTCAGCCAATAAACGATAAGAAAGAAAGAGACTTTTATTTAACAATCGTTATCTTTTATTAATTTCTCTGCAGCAGGGAACATGACATCGAATCGCGTAACAAGAACCATGGACTCGGATGAAGTAGCATTACATTTTGTACACTCCTTACATTTGCTGTATAAACGATTCATAAGAAAACGAAACATATTAACAAAACTAAACTCGCCGACTGGCTTTGATTGAAATTCACTTTTCTAATACAATAGATATATATATATATACACAGACGATGTATAAAAATAAAAAAAGAACAACAAGTGTACAATCAAATGTTAGAAACACATTTTAACAGAGTCGTTAATTCTACTTGAATTTCGGTGCTATCAGACCCTTGAGGCAATCGAAGGTATTGCCATCCGGATGTACGGTGAATATCGCTCCGTCCTCTCCACGGACACGCAAATATCCAAAATCGTCTATGCCTAGTATCTTAACGTTCTGTGACAACCCAGAGGCTGATAATATCGTCACGTTTGTATCGCTGTGGAGAGAGAAATTTTTTTTTTTTTTTTTTCTTTACATTTTTACACACGTGCGTATCAAGTAGACTGCCGACTTTTGTGCGATTTATATGCGAAATCTGAACACACTGCAAAATTGAACAGAGAGCACATAGTACGAAAAAGTACGTGACATTCCCAAAGCACTAGTTTCCTCAAGTATATTCTCAAATTTGCATAAAAATCTCTTGCAAGAATTATAAGAATCATATTTTGTTGTACTTTGTTATGTGCTGTTATATTTTGCATTTAGACTTTTCACAGTTTATATTTTCCAAAGATGCACAAACATCCGCAGCCTAATAAAAAGTAATTTATCATTTACGTTGAAGAATCGAATTATGTTACGAAAATGTAATGAATAAAGAGAAAAATTTCAAATACAGTCTAAGATAATGCTTTATTCACTTCATCCTTGTCAACTGTTGGAATAATTTCTCGAATACAAAGAGCATGCATAATTATTTAGAAAATTTGAGAGTGAAACTTACGTGTGCATCCAATAAGCATAATATGCATCCAAAAAAACATCTACATTGCCACTTTGTACGATATTTAACCATCTCTCGATTTCGTTGAATACAATAGCAAAGTATTGTTCGTATGATATCATTTTCAACTTCTTTTTATACATATCGTTAAATGCAGTAACTATATCGTTAATACAACACGTAGGTTCTTTATTAAATAAATTTACTCCAACTCCTGAAAATGACGATAATTTTATGACATAAAATTTCTAAGATATGCATGCAATGAACCAGCCTAAGCAGTGTAATTATATAATAAATGAAATTTATAATCGACGCACATAATAAGGGAAATTTCATATGCTTGTAACAAATGAAAATTTCTTTGAAAAAAATGACTTTGTCGAATATTAAATAATGCTCACCAACGTTACATATATTAAGATTTGACAAAACATGAGTCGCTATAATCATTCCACCAATCTTAACATTATCACCAGCATAAATATCATTAGGCCATTTTAGTCTCAGATCGATGTCCTGTTAATAATAGGTGAGTAAATTAATAAATTACAATAGCAGTTACACAGATATTTAGGTACCTCGTATCCAGGTAGAGACTTAAACGCAGACACAATTGCAACAGATACCAAATGTTGCAAAATTGAGATTCGTCTCCCAAGTATCGTGTCAGTAGGCACATGCAGTTGCAACGTAAACAACGCTGAACCTTTCGGACTGAGCCATATATTTTTACTTCTTCCTAAACAAATTCATATAAAAATCTCCATTAGACATCTGATCCATTCACAATTTTAGAATATTCACAAATTTATTCAACCATGTAAAATATTTTTAATAAATACAATTTTGAAGACGAATTTTCGTTTAATTAAATAGTTATAGAGAAACGTACATTTGCCCTTGTCATACAATATTTTTCTTTCTTTTTTTTTTTTAATTGAAAAACAAAGATTTTAGACCAGCCTAGGTCCATTAGTCGGAACGATGTTTCTAGAATTAAGCACGGCAACCTGTTGGATTGCGACTAAAAATCTGGCAATGTAACAGGAATATAGAATACGCAAGGAGGTATCTCGACTACTGTTAGACAAGAAGCACGGTACTGGGAGACAAGGATAGACACACGTGACGTAACAGACAAGGAGGGCACTATCGAACAACAAGGACAGACATATTTCTCTTTCTAATCTCTCGAATATCCATTAATTACTCGATTTTCGGAAACAATTCGTGCACCTTTGGCATAAAAGAATCAAGTGCAGATCTCAAGCAACATTCCTATACAGTTTTTGATACGATTTCTTGTTTAATTAATAAATTATAAACGACTCTTTCCACAAGTGTCTGGGCTTCCGTAACGCGTGTCTACGAATTTTTAATACTATCGATCTTTCAAGACCTTACAGCCCGCTTTTTGAAATCGTAGAAGCTTCCCTAGACTCTGCACTTTACATTCCATGCACACAGATTATTAATTAATTACGTGTTAATTCAAATTATGCGAAAATTCAGCGCGTCGGTCTGCCGTAGTAACTTAATCGTGCGTGTTGTCGTGCAACAATAATTAATAACTCATAATTTAAGCAACAATTCCGATACAAAACTATACGTGAATATCGCTTGTAGTCTGAACTTTGTTCCACGATTCCAAAAGTGCATGATTTCAACCTAGAAATCCAGTAATTAATAAATAATCAATGAATTAGACGGAAAAGTACATGTATCCTTGTCACGTGACGTTGCTGTTCTTTTCTATACTCGAGTGCTGCCATCTANTTTTTGTTTCTTTTTTCTTTTGATACAGAAATGCCCTGCCCGCTTATATACATCGCTTTCACTTCTAAAGAAGCGATAGCCTTCCTCGAGATCAACGATTCGAACCTTTAGCGAAAAACTTTGCCTCGAAGAACGTTGCGCGAATGTTGTTCGATTTAGACGCTTCATCGAGAAAGTGAGCAATAACCAGACTTGGGTGGTCATTTTTGTCAATAAATGTACCCAATTCTGGTTCCTATCTCAAGAGGACACAATTAAGGAAAATATAACTAGTTTGAAAGATTTTTCAAAGTTCAGCGCGTGGCACTAAGTCGTTGAATCTTAGAGGAATGTTGAGAAGTGAAGACGCTAGGACGAGACGCGTTCAAAGCGTTCTCCGATGAAGCGACGAGCGACACAAAAGCGAATACGAGTCTAGGCACATGCAACTAAAGCTTCTTTCTTTATCTCCACTTCTTTCTTCCAAATTTCTGTCTTTTTCTTTTCTTTTTTTTTTTCCTTTTTGAAACGAGAGAGAGAGAGAGAGAGAGATTTTGAAAAAAAGGCGAATCGCATAACCCACGGGGACTGACTAGTAGTTGTTGGAAATAACATGGACAAACGTACCGGCTGCTGTCGAAGCGTTAGTTACGGCCTTGCCAAGAGGCGTTCGATCGACGAATAGCACGGATGTCTATGCTTCCTTCGATCTTGCGCTCGAATCGTTTCAAGTTTCCCTTGTGACGCGCTTGGTCGCGCCTCCACGACAAAGAGGCACGAGCGTGTTCGCAGGGCGTGCCTCGAGTACAATCGTCACGGGAAAAATTCGTTGGACAACGAAAAGAGAGAAACGAAAAAATGACTGTTCCACGTAGAAGCACGCGGTGGCTTTTGTCGTGCGTTGTAACATGCCGCGGGACCACAGCGAGTAAACATAAGCGAGAAAAACTGTTCGAGAAACTGTTTGAGAGGAGGTATCGAATGATTAAGCTTACCTCATCGACGCCTATCTTTCGACACGCCTCGAGAAAATTGTCAACGTTACGCCTGCATCTTGCCATTGTCAACTTGGGCTGCAAATTACGACAGTTACGTGTCAAATATCCGAGCATCGTCGCTTTTAGACGGCGAAAGACACTCACCACAGCCGGTGAAGGAACGTGGATACTGGCGACCGACCTAGGTTTCACGTGGTTTGCCAAGTGACAAAGTACAACTCCGTCTGTCAGCGCCGGGGCAAGGTCTTCCGGTAGAGCCATCTTCAGCCTTGTTTCAATGTGCTGAAAAGGACAAGGCTCAAACGTTAGCAACTCTACTGTTACAACAGGTGATTACCGAGTGAAAGTCGATCCTTTCCGATACTCACGTTTCGAAGCTGCTCGATCAAGTCAGCTTCCTCCTTGGCACGCTCGAACTCTCTTCTCATAGTGAACGAGTACTTTTCGGGCACGTTGCTGTTCCACGTAACCGACCGAGGAGACTTTGGACTCCCGCCGTTTCTACTAGGACTGTTGTTACCTAACGGACATTATATATATTCCATTTGTTTGTACGAGACACGTCCAGCCATGCTTCTACCTATTTTATTCTCTCTACTCGCTGATTATTTCTTTTTTTCTTTTACCTTCTACGTAACCAACAGCGGTCTTGACCAATCTGGGAGTGTGCCCCGGACTAGTGTTGGAAGATAAAATGCTCGATGACGTTTTGATCGGCGAGTTAGGCTTTTTATACGGCTGTTCGAGGTATTTCCCGTTCTTATTGCTGTACTCGTTATTGCTACCGTTGATAATCGGCGTGTTCTGATAGTTGATACGCGACGGTGTCACTTTCTGCACCGGTCTCTTCGTCGCGTTCTCCTCGTTGAAGATCTGCTTACCGGTCATACCGAGTGCATCTTTGTTGCTGGCAGTGTCTGTCTCGTTGTTCTGCGATTCGTTGCCTGGCGGTGTCACCTGTTCACGTGGCCTGTACACGCTGGGTCCCTCGTTGGCTCTTTGTTGTCTCAACGCCTCTTTATACTCTCTAAAAATCAGTCGTCGCATGTTACTTGCGATATTTATTGAAACACGTTGCGATGCGTACGTCGACTATTATCGTATACGATATCCAAAAGTCAGTTTATTTTCCAATTCTATTATTAACAACAGAAGACGTGTTAGTTGCAAAGAATTAAAGAAATTAAAGAAAAATAAGACAAAAAGATACTAATAATAAAAGACAATATGACGATAACTTTCCAATTGCTTCGTATTGAAAAGGCTGGAAACGAATGGAGCAGTAGTAATTATAAAAATTACTTGCTATATGAATGATTCTGCTCAAAAATATGAATGATGCTCCTTTTTAAAGATCCAAGTGTCGATGCATGCATCGCAAACTATAGGAACCTTCGCACGATACGAACGCGTACCTATAAGTTTGAATGTGATTGAGCGGCCTTTTCTCGTCGCCGTTCATCAAAGAGGTAGCGTTCGCGGTCGATGTTTGCAGCGGTTGCACGGACTGCGTGTTCGTTGACACTGGCGTTGTCGTCTGGCTCAGATGAGCGGACTCGAGGGGACTGAAAAAGACGCGGGAAGGACACCTGACGCTTATGCTCGTCTGTTAGCCGGTAAAAATCACTAGGCAGTCGTGGAACGCGGTCGAGTGACAGTGACAGGCTGTGATGATTGACTTATTAACAGCTCGCTTACCCGGGCGGCGTAATCGACGCGTGGTAGAGGCCAGAGGTCATCGGTCTTCTGACATCGGCGCCATTCTCCGACGTGCTTCTTTCTAGTTTTCTCTTTTCCAACTGGTCGTGCAGTATCATAGCCTGTAAACACGGTTTCGTTTAGTGAGAAAGCGAGAGGAGGACCGAGAGAGGCTCGAGACGAGATAGACTCGAGAGAGGAAAGGTGAGCACGCATTCCTAGCCAGCCGCCTTGGATGCCGGTCGCGTTAATCGCGAGCGAGCGCGAGACGCTGCCGGCGAGTTCTTTCAATGGGTTAAGGTCATTCAACGAGGCTTGAACGACGGCCAAGCGCGACTCGACAACACACAGAGATATCATTTTCAAGGGGCGCGCGTGAGTTCTATTCACTCGCTAAATATAGATGTTGTGTCACACGCGCTCAGACTTGGAGTAAATCTGAAACACGTTTAGTGGAGAAGCCGGGACACGATATGTCAGCGCGGTTCGGGCCACTCTGACGAAAGCGGCTCGATACCTACCTTGCCGAGCTCATCCTCGAGCGACGTGTGCTCGCCAGGCGAGATGGTACTGGGAGTCGAGGTTCCGCTGCAGGATCCGTTCACGCCCGTTTCGTGTGGCAACGTGATCGAAAGTGGCGAGCATTCTTGACGCCACAGCCCTCGGACCTCGCCGTCGTGCACCTGCGCGGAAAAACGTGTCCAGCAGGAGGTACTACGAGAGATCGTCGAGACGGTTTTGTGTACGTGTGTCGTTTCTGCGTGCGGTTGTTTTTTTCGAAAGTTTATTTGAAGTTTGCGTCTTTTTTTTCTACATAATTGGATTAGTCAGAGAGTACAAGAAATGTGCAAGTCTCTCGCAGGGGGAAAGAGTTCTTTCTACTGGCGAGGAGATCGAAGCGATACACAGCGGATTCTATGAAGTTTCATAGCCGAAGAGGTTGTTACAGAGCCAGCCGAGGAAGAAGAATCGAAGAAACAGGACGAGGGTGAGAAGAAGAACGAGGGAACTAACCGCGCTGTGAATTTCTTGGGACCAGCGTTTGTCGACGCCGTCGCTGGTGCTGTATCCGCTGTCGACGTTGTGCCGCCTGTGGGTCCTTGTGTCCAGAGTCGCGTGGCCTCTGACATCCAGGGGTGTCCTCCTCGTACGGCCGCCCCTTGCTCTCTCGTGCTTCGCCGCCTGTCTCTCCAAATATTTGAAGATGTGCGTTCGCCCGCGAATGCATAGCTGCGAACACAAGCGGGAATAGTCGGCTGAGTGATCGGCCGATCGGCAACTAGGAAACGGGATTCGATTCTCGTTTTTATTCAGAAGCTCGTGCTCACCGAGGCAGGCGGCGAGGTCAAAGGATTGTCGGACAGTCGAAAGTCGACCAGGCTCTTCATTTTCCTCATCTCGTTCGGAAGCACGGATATACGGTTGCCGCTGATATCCAGCTTCACGAGTCTCAGGTACGTTAGTTCTGCGCAGAATGTTCGATTTCACGATCGTCGTATATTGTGCATTGACTTTGGCAAGAGCGTAAAAAATAAATGCACGTTGTATGTGGGGAAAAAAAATCCATTTTTACGCGTAATTTGTTGAAAAGTTTCAGGACAAATTCTAATATTTTATTTGAAAACTGGAAATATCAATTAATGCTTTTGCGACATTCGAGAATAGCGCGAGGAATACTTGTAACATTCGAGAATTCCCTGAATTAAAAGACGCATATTCAAGCCACGTACTTCTTAACGCGTTATACATCGATGGTATTCTAATGTTGAAGATTAAAATTTCAAGGTTGTCAAGAAACAAAAATATAGGACTCTGCGTCTATTTTAATATACACTCAAGACCATGACCTCTGCTCCCCATCTTCGATGGTGGCGCCTGTTTGAACAGGTTTAAAGAAGCGCTACCTACCTATAGGCAGGTGCACGATCATGTTGCTCCTCAAGTCCAAGGACCTAAGTCGCGCGAGGTCGCCCATCCGAGGTGGCAGGTTCGTGATTTCGTTGCAGCCTGCGTCGAGCTCGGCCAACGCCGACATCCTGCCCAATTCGTCCGGCAGAGACGCCAGTCGATTGTGAGCGACCAGTAACGTTTGAAGCGGTAGCCTGCATATCTCCCGAGGTAGAGACGTCAATTGATTGCGACTGCGAACACAAAAAACCATCGTCGCTCGTTAACTCCAATCCGCCGTGCCGCGGTGAAGCCTTGGTGGCTTCGCGACTTCCTGCCCTTACCGACCTAAGATCGAGGTAGTTGAGGGATTGTAGCATCGCCACGGTTTCCGGTATTATTCTTATCGCATTGTGGTAGAGGTGCAGCTTCTCGAGGAACAGGAACTCGGTCACTTCTTCCGGTAATTCGGCGAAACGGTTCTTCGAAAGATCTGCAACAGAAACGAAACAACTCGTGTACATTTGTCTCGATTAAAGATCTTTGTTTCGTTAATTAAATGAATCGTGTTCTAATCGGATGCAATTTTTAGTAGACAGATACATCGTATGGTCAATACAGATCGCTGTTTCATGGATACTTAATCTTCTGCGATTGGAATTGTCTATTTGCAGAGGGAAAAGATTATTAGCTAAGTGTAATTATTTATTCCAGTTTATAATATGGTAACTATCATTTAATATTTTTGGGTATAGATAGATATGTAAATATGTAACTTTTAAGTTACATGACGTTTTAAATGGTTAAATAAATATACAGATAGATTAAAGTACGTGTGTTGTATCGATCAAAGCACAAAAGTAAGAGTCTTTTAATTTCGGGAACGCACAGAACAAAAATAGATCTTATCGCATTGTTTATCAAGACAAATCTGTGTACTAAATATATTACGTACGTTTATGTCTCTTTATCTCTTTATTTACGACGAATAAATGTACAATCACACGTGTATTAAAAAATCACAGAGTTTTAGTTCGCTAATGTACAGATTGTGGCATTCCTGGTACAGGTCTAAAATTGTAACCAATCTTCACAAATAATCGATACCAATCTTTTTAAAAACAAGTGAAAAAAATATTTCTTAAAGAAGTTCGATTAATTGAGAGACATCGTCAAGTCTCCCCGTAGGAACAGCTGTGCTCCGGTTAGGGTGGTGCTCGAGTTCGCTGGGGGTTCTTATGAATGGGGTGCGACGGTCACGTGCGTGTACAGTCTCGAAACGTAGGAAAAGGATAAGGGTGGCTCAGCTGCTGCTCGGCTTCGGGGGCTACCTTTCTGATCAATAACCACCGCCTGGTGTGCTTTCGTTTCCTCCGGGAGTTGGTTAGCCAACGGTCCGACTCGTCCTTTTCCTTCGCACCAGCTTTTCAAACCCCTTCCCTCCTCCCTCCTTCTTCCTTTCACTATCGATCGGACGCGTCACCACCCTGTCCAACGACACCCCTTGCTTGCATTCGATCATTTTTGTTGAAACCCCACCGCGCGAATCGCAATTGAAAAGTGTCTCGGTACGCGCGCGAAACGTTAATTCTCGGGGAAATCTGATCGCGCGTTCTCGGAAATTCGATTTCGGTTATCTGGTTTACGCGATCGGGACCAAGGAAATTGCTCATCGATCGTCAACAGGATACTCGAGAGTTTTCTCCAAACACTCCATTCATTATCTTTCCATCCGGCTGGATCTGCGAAGTCTTATTACGTATCGAGGAACGAGTTTCCCTCGCGTGCACGCCCACGACCATAATGGGGAACGAGACCATGGGGTGGAAAGTAAAGCGTGGAACCATTGGTACACACGGTCGATCGCATAATCGTCAAGCAAGGGCGTCGGCCCGTTGGTGTTGGTGCGATGGAGACGAAAATAGCAACCCCTGTTCCGTCTCTGTGCCATCGCCGCGACTCTCGTGCAATGAAACTAAACAATTTTTACCGAAGCCATCGTCTATTCTATTTATTTTCGACGATGGGGAACGACAGAAACTGATCTCGCTCTCGCTCTAAAACGACACTATCTATCGTCGAATAGGAAATGACGAAAACTATGAAACTTTCCTCTTCGTAGAATTTCACAAAATTATTTATTTTTCGCTGCAGGAATTTCAATCCTAAATTTAAACCTTAAAGGCGTCATTGGATATTAGATTAATAACAATTTAAGGATTCTATTACTAATCTCTAATATAAATTACTGCATTCTGTATAACTTAAATGATAAAATAATTTAAATGAGAGAGATACAAATAATTTAATCGAATATTTAATTTAGTATTACTAATTTAATATCATTCAAGTCAAATTGCGAAATAAAATATCCATGATTGTTTAATCCCTTAAATATACCTATCCCCATGACATTTGCCAACCAATGTAGATAAAATTTCTCATATATTTCACAAGAGTAGATGTTCTTTTCAGAAAAATAATATTCCATACAAATTGACAAGTGTTTGTGAAACGATACAGGTAATCTGTAGCACGGCAAGAAAATAGAATAGCAAGATAAACAGATAATAGAAAAATCTCATGGGCCTGAGTTTTCGCTCGATGCCAATTTTTAAGCGACTCTTCATGCGCCGCACGCGCGCGATTCGTCGAATGTTAATTGGCATAGAAGTCGTAACGGAGAACTTGGTAACTGTGGCACATATAGGGTGTTTCACGAGAGGGGTCGATGCACCAGGCGATTCCAAGGACCAAGGTCGAGGTCCAACCGACCGAGGGATCGATACCATATACGTAGATTTGCGTGACGCTGTACAAAGTTGCTAGACTGATCCGCGAACGGATGGGCGTGTCCCTGGTTGTCCAAGTGTCGCGCGTTTTTGCGATAAAAACAATTAGCGCTGTTTAACCAGGCTGCCAGATCGCTCCTCCGACCCGCTGATAATACGACACCAACGGAATATTAAGCCACCGCGATCGAAGTGTTTCGCATTTTTATCGCACGCTCGTACGCCGCTTGCTTGCTTATGCATACGTGCAAGACAATAACGCCGGAAAGACGGTACGCGCAATCATAAAGGGTTGGACGTACGTATACGCCAACGAGTGAAAAATGTCCGCCTAGTAATTTCCATGGTAATCCGCGTGCCAAGTCGAGGAAGAGAGAGAGAGGCCGACGACCGGATAAAATTACCTCGCTCAGAGGGAAAAATGGAACACATTTTTTTTTTTTTTTTCATGCGATTAACTGTTAGATCGACCGATGGATGATTAATTAAATTACTTAGTCGTTAAGTGTCACTATGTGCTGATTAATTTGGTAATTGGGAAATTCGTCATACTGAGCTGGCATTTTGTCCAAGTATCAGACAAACAGGAACGTGTTTTGTCCAATCAAAAAAAATCTTTGCCACGATGAAACTCTTTGGAGGTTCCCCAAGGGGGTTCCTTGAACTACAAAATGTATTGTCAATTAACTGTCTTTATTAATTATTCACTTACAGTACATATTTGAAGCGATTTTAGTCGAAGACGAAAGATAGAAAACGACACAAATAGAAGAACGAGAACTTGCGATGTTCCAATACGCAGAGAAGAAGAATCCCAAGGAAAAATGGTAACAACAGTAAATAAATGTATATTCTTAACAGAGATAAAAATGAAAGTTGCATTGCGAATATTTTCGTGCGAACAATATCTGACGCAGACATCAAGATGCCTTTAATTGGTCGATCAAACACGTGTTGTCAAAGCGAAACATTTTCACGTGTCGCGTGAAACGATATAATTCCCCTTCTGGGAACGTTCAATTTTTCAACTCCTTTCTCTAATGTAAAACCTTGCAATTATCGCGCGTTTCGCATAAATTTACGAGACCGGAGAAGGAGTCGCGGCGTGTTGTTTGGGCGTGCCGCGTCACGAAACCGTTGGCTCCTGTTGTCGATATGAAACAGCAGGGGGTCAATGACCATGGACGAAAATTACCTCGTACATTAACTGAAACACGAAATGGTAGAAAAAGTGCAGAAAACGATCACGAATCGATCGTGATACTTTCGATGTTGTGTTAAGAAGAACGAACGATCGATAAACAGGCACGGAGGCGAGTAGGGGCCAATATGGTCGACGTGCGGAATCGGTGTAGCGTGTTTGCGGATAAAACGCACGAGAAAATACTCTAACGACGTTAAGTTATCCTTCTCGGGATACGTATGGGGGTTGTAAGAGCCGGCGTAAGGGCTGCCGTAGAACCGTGGAAACAGAGGGTCGGCCGATCGATAACGCCCCCATAGCAGATATCGTCCAGAGAGTTGGCTGCACGAGGAGCGCAAGGTGTCCCATGTGCGGCGCGCCTACCCTCTTTTGCGAACTTTCCTGCTGGAAAATAAAATGATTCGGGGCGAGGAGTACGGCCTCGCGAACCAATGATCGGTAACGACGCTAGAAGAATCGCTAACGAGCCGCGTGGTGTCCGAGGGCTCGAAACCGATTTAATTTCACTCCAGATACGTCATTAAAACGTTAACGCGCTTAACGATCAATTCCACGTAAAGACGGGATTAACGACCGTGCCCGTGATACGTACGAGCACTGCTGACACGATTGCATTTATAATAAAATTTGGCACTTTAGTGCAGAATGATTCTCCTGGTGATTAGTTTTTCAGAGATGCGCGTATATAATGATTTAAATTTAAAATATAATTTAAAATCAAGTCTTAAATTTTGGACACGAAAGCGTTTCGTTCTACTGTACTTACAAAATATATTTCTACTGTACTTACAATTTTTTTTTTATTAGTAACTTATTATTAAATTATATTCTTCCGCTTTTACTTGTATTTTTTTTTTTCCATCCACCAGAAGATTTGTGTTATACTCCATCTCTTTTTCTTTACTTCTACTTTAGTGAAAATATTTCCTGTATTACTAAAAATGCCAAAAATGTTACTATTATTAAATAATACTTTAAATATTCCACTTTGGCAAAAATATTTGCTGTATTACTAAAGATGCCAGAAATATGTTATAATATCTTTAGAATATTCGATAAGGAATGTTAATGCTCGAAAGGGGTGCTTTCTCTCTATGATTCTCTCTTGATTCTCGACGCGTTTAACGATCGATTTGAGGGAAGAACGATCGCATTTCGCCCGAGGTAGGCGATTGATTTTCCCCGCGATTCCCGTCCTGAAAGGAGCGACGTCGCGAGAAGAGAACACGAGAAAAGGACGAAGAGGAGCGCGAGGAAAGCAAAAGCGAGGAAACGAAGGGAAAGGAAATTCCGGTGGCGAAGTCGTGCGCGGACTGAGAACTTCGCCCTTGAACCATCAGTGAAGAGATCGCGTCAAAAGCGAAAAGAGAAAAGCGCGGAGGAGCCACGAAGGAAGAAGGTAAGAAAGGAGGGACAAGAAAGGACGTACATTTTGCTCCGTTGCTTTTGTAACAGGCCGACACACCACTTCCGGCGACGCGAAGGACGTGAGTGCGA